ATCGATGTGAGAATGGCATAACCGGCGAAGGCCGGGAGCCTTGTCAGTGAGCTGAGATACCGGCCACTGACACTCCGAGCCTGGGCCGACAGAGGCGGGACTCCCATCTCAAAAAAAAAAAAAAAAAAGAATGCACTGGTCCTGCCCTCCCCCTGGGGACGGCCAGCCCAAGCACGGGCGGAATTTGCTGCATCTTCCCTTGACACTAAGCTGCCCACTGTCTTTGCAGCAGGAACAGGCTGGGCGTGGAGGCACCACCACTGCGCGCCTTCACAATTGGTAAGGGTGTTTTGTAGATTCTTAGTGCTGGAGGGCAGCCACGCTGGCCTCAGCCGAACTGCTCAGACCCCTCCTTCTTTGAATCATCCTATGGGGCCCAGGGTTGGGTGGTAGCAGCAATGAGAGGAGTCTCACTGGTAGGGTCCGGTATCTCAAGCATCTTACCCCTGCTGTTTCATGCCTAAATGTGTTTAAAAAATGAAAAAAGCAAGAAAGGAAACAGGTTACACGCTAAAAGAGGCAGTACTGCCTGGAATTATTAAAATTATTAATAAATTACAGTAGAAGCCTACCACACCCCATCCTTTCAAGAGAATTGCCGCCTGATGACAAATAAACGCCTGCATGAATGAATGCATAGCTCTCATGAGAGGAAGAAATAGATTCCCAGGCACTGAAGAGTAGATGACTATGGCAGTCGATCAAAACCATCATTCACTCAACTTTTTCCCAGCAGGGTCCACAAATACCAGTTCTGGAACTTTGGGCTAGTAGGTTGAAACATGGGGCGATAATGTCTGTTCTTGTGCAAAGTTGGATCTCGTTAATGCTTTTCTTGGCCTTGTCTTTATAGGCAGGGAGAATTACTTCCATAGCACCTGAAGAGGTTTGATAAATTTTAAGTAACAGTAATAATTGCAGTTTCACAGATGGTTGGCCACTTGCCAGTTTCACAGCAAACTAGTAAAGCAATAAGAAAATCTACTTGCTCTTAAAATGACTACTATTCTAAATGAAATTACTAAAGAGAGAGGAAATGAGCTAATCACTGGAATAATCAAAACAGTGTCATTATGGGACTCCCTGTGAGTTTTTGTTTGAATTCTCTAATGTGGTTTTTGGCATTAAATAGGATTTTAAACGCTAAATAGGTCACACTTGCATACAAATGGTTGAGTGAATCACATAACTGCTTTATGTTCCCCAAGATTCTGCTTATCAGGCTGCGTTTTAATTAAAAGGAAAATTGTCAGGGATAGAGGATAACTCAACGTGGGGAATTTGGTATCCTTAGTTGATGACTAAGACTTCACTTTTTATTCGCTTTTCAATTCACAGTCATGATTTCCAAACAACATGAAATTCATTTCATTTTAGTCACAAGTTTAGACATAGAATTTGAAAGCTAGAGGAATTGGAGATCATTTTGTTGACCAATCTCAAGTCCAGTCATTTCATGGCATGTGTGAAGATGGCTTAGCTAGAAAGAGAGATGTTTAGCCTTGAGAAGCAAAAGCCTTATCCACTACTGGCAAAATTCTGCAGATAACACAATAGTGTGTAAGTCCTTAGTTAGGAAGGCTGCTCTGTGATCACTAGAAATGAAGATCAGAGAGCAGAATGTAGATCCTTCCCACTAAGCGGCCCAGAGCAGCTTCTCAGGCACTTGGATAAGAGGTCCTTAGGAGGATCCCTGTTGCCAACCAACTTTTAAGTATAATCCCAAAGAAAGAAGAAA